GATCAAAGTCCGTGTCCCTGGGATGAAGCAATGGCCTACGAGATTATACCTCAGTCACACAAATAATAACACAACTACAATTTCTAAATGTCTCGCTTTTTTATAGGACTAAGGATTGAACTCAGGGTCTTTGTATCCCTAGCACTTCTTTTCTTTCTAAAATTCTGATAGAGTCTCATTAAATTGCCAGGCTGGGTTTGAACTTTCAATTCTCCTACCTCAATCTTCCCAAAGCTGAAATACAGTGTGCACCATCACTCCTGGCTAAATGTCTCCTTCTTCTTTTTTTTTTTTTTAATTTATTTTATTTATTGGGGGGGCAGCTCAGCCCACCAGGGGGCGGGACTCGCTGGCATATGGTGCTGGGGGATTGAACCGCAGTCCCAGTGCTTTTGCTTAGCTTAGCTTGTTCTAAGTAGGTGCTTTAGACCACTGAGCCATCTCACCAGCCCTAAATGTCTCCTTCTTAATGTAAGCCAAGGACCAAAACTCTCTGATATCTGATATTCTGGCTAATATGACAAGGAATAAGGGATTTTACCCTTCTCTATAACAAACTCCTCCAATCAGTTGAATTTAAATTAATTAGTACAGAGATTGTACCAGGTGTCTAACCAGGTATGGTTTATTTGGGGGTGTTTGTCTGTTTAGAGTTTAGAGACAGAAGTCAGAAAAAGACTTTTCTGCTGGCCTTGAAGGAGTAAAAATCAAATTTTGAACTGCCTAAAGAGGCAGTCTTAGCTAAGACTTTCAGTCCCACATCTGCCAGGAAATTAATTTTGCCAGCAAGAGAGACTAGAAGATGATCCCAGATGGCAGATGAAACCCTAGTTCTGGGCTGACACCTGATTCGAAGTTTTGTCAGTCCCAGAACAGAAGATCTAACAGAGGTACGCCTGGACTCCTGACTCACAGGCTGTATACAATATGAGCTGTAACCTGTTAAAATGTATGTACCACCCACCACAGAAAAGACAGACATATACAGAAAAAAGGTGAATTAAATAACTCTTCAATAAACCGAACTGAAAAGTGTATAAGAGTGGAAATGGAGACTTCTATAGTAGGGTTATAAGATGAAGTTGAAGAAACCACCCAAAAACCAAATACAAGAAAAGGAAAAATATCAGAGAAAAGGTTAGAAAATAAAATGACAATCTATGAAGGTCAGCATCAAAATGAAAAAGCTTCTGAAAGGAAGAAAACTAAATCATACCAGGCACAGTGGCACACACCTGCAAGCTAGCACTCTGGACCACTGAGGCAGGAAGATGGCAAGTTCCAGCCCAGCCTAAGAGACTTACTGACTTAGCAAGAACCTATCTCAAAATAGAAAGGTTGTGGACACAGCTGTGTGTGAAGGCCCTGGGTTCAATCCCCAGTAACTACACACACACCATGACTCAAAAATTGCAGAAAATCATAATGTAAATTTCCAGTTTTAAATGCCTTATTTAATGTCCATCAGTGAAAAAAAAAATAAGTTTAAATAAAAAGACCTGACAAGTTTTCAAACAGTTAAACTAATTGAACTGAGTACCAAAAAATGGCTTTAGGTTCTTAATAACCCTAGAAAAGTAACAGTTAACTTTCTGGACCTGTCAATGATAAATAGCCCACTAAGGCACACATGCCATAGGTTCACTACCACTGCCCTAGAAGTTCAAAAGACAATGAAGAAATACAGAAATATCAAAAGGAAAAAAAATTCATATACAAAAGTATCTGCCCAGGCAAGACATCAAAACAAGCCTTCTCAAAAATGCCTCTCCTACAAACTTCTAATTTTTTTTGGGGGGGGGGAGGGATTTACAGTATAATAGACTTTACCACAAAGGAATAAATAAATCAAGAAAAGCCTATATGAATACATCAAAAAGGATTCCAGGACGAGAGACAGCGAAGGGAATCCCCAGGGTGACAGCTGACAAAAAGGACAGCGGCGGCCCACTAGAACAGGTCAGAAGACTCCAATGGAGACTTCTTTGGGAAGATAAAACTTACAGGACACACAAATACATTCAGGAAAGAGGTAAACACAGGGTGAAAAGCCAGGAGTTAGATTACATACAATACATAAAAACAAAGCAAATGAAAAGCAGTATCCCTAGTAACACAAAAGTTTATACAGATAACTACCGACAGAATACAGGAGAAGGCTCAATATGCACATAATTTACAGAGTCCTAACTCCGAAACACCTGAACCCTGCTCTACCCACCATCACAGCTGAGCTGTACTGGGAGGAAGGGGAGCGCAGGAGACTGGAAAGCTTCCCAGTGGGAAGCCAAGAGCTGATGTTTACACACAGCCAGAACCCAGATTAAAACAGGTTATCGAAATATTTATAGTTCAAAAGGCAATTCTTAGAGAAAAAAAGAAGGAAGAGAAAGAGGAGGCAAAAGCCTCTTTTCCTCAACAAGCTTTGCATAAGTGTTTGATTCTTCATTCAACCCAAGGGCACTGCTAGCTTTGAAGGAAGAAAGATCAAGGCTGTGTGGTCACACCAGCTGATTAGCGACTTCTACTTTCAGAAGGAGGAAGGAGAAGGAGGTCTTCTGCCTATAGAATTCATTTGAATTCTGTTTCATCTTGAAAACTAACTCTTGCTTTACTAACTCAGAATCACAACAAGTTGTTTTTGTTTTGTTTTTTTCCTAAAATAATACCAAAATAAAGAGTTCCTCAGACTTCTTATTTTCTCTTGTTTGAGTGGGCCAGTGAACATGCAGTGAGCCAGCAAAGGCTCTGCACTGGCTCCTCAGCACAACAGTAACTGACTTTCAGAAGCAAAGGTAGAAAGGGATATCCTGGTATCACCGCCCCCAAAATGGTGTGAGTCTTTGTCAAAAGCCACCTAAGTTCCTCTCTTTTTTCTTTCTTTCTTTTTTCTTTCTTTCTTTTTTTTTTAAAGGCACTGGGGGCCTCACAAATGTACTCTATCCCCAGCCTTATTTTTATTTTTTATTTTCAGATAAGGTCTTGCTAAGTCTTCCCAGGTTAGGCTCAACCCTGAGATCCTTCTGCCACAGCTTCCCAGAGTGCTGGTTTACAGGCACCCCCACCAGGCCCAGCTTCCATCCATTCTATTTAAGGAAAATGTAAGTGCACTGCATTAGCTCAAATGGCCCCCTATCCAAATACCTGTAACACAGAAAATACGTGTGCTACACAAAAGGACCTTATCTCTCCTCATAAAACACAAACAAAATAAGCAGAATCATGTTTACAAAAACTCTTAGGTAAAAATATGCAGTATCATTAAGTACACTGTCAGGCCCAAATGTCAATGACTCCTCGATGACACTACAATACCCTATGGCAGGGACACCAGTGGTTTCCAGATGAGGATGTGACTACAACAGTCGCCACAAACTTAAAACTTCTTGGTTCTGAGACTGCCCTTACTTTTTTGTTGCTACAGTGTGGTTTCTGGGGTAGCAGACAAAAAAACTGTTTTGCAAGTGTTTATTAACATAAAACCAGGGCCAGAGACATAGCTTAGTAGCACAGCCCTTGTGTGACAAGTGTAAGCTCTTGAGTTCCGTTCCTAGTACCAAAACCCCAAAACATTAAACCAAATATACACTCAGATATTCTACTTCCATATGTGTGCTCAACTGGAACAGGTACTCACGCCCACCAAGTGACACCTAGGAGAAAGTAACATCTTGGTGTCTAGCAGCCATCAAAGGGAAACTACTCAGATGTCCATCAAGAGTACAATGAAAAAAGTAAACTGTGGCATATTGACACACTGGGAACTAGGCACCACTGAGAAAGAATAAGCAATGGAAAAAGAATGCAACAACAGAATATTGAGGTTGACGCTCATACATACTGTACGGTTCCCTTCAGATGAAGTGCAAAACAGGCAAAACTTATCTGAAGAGTCTGCATGCACAATACTAACCAGCAGGCAGAAGGGGCTCCCGGAGAAGCAGCGGGAGCAACAGCAACGCTTGTGCGTCTTGATACGGGAGTAATTATACGGGCATAAAGGACATGGTGAGAAAGATCACTAACTTATAACTTAAGATACGTCCTGCATCATTAAGTTATACTTGAATAAAAATCTTAAAAATCCATAGAACTGAAACATTAATATTTCATGAAATTGTGCTAGCAGATGCCACCAATTACTAACAGCCACACTTCCAAAATGACAAGTTGCAACTCTTTATTAGTGACCTCAACAATTCTTTCTCAACTTTTTATTTTGAACAAGTATAAACCTAGAGAAAAATTGAAAAGCTAACACAAGTAACAACCATAAGCCTTGTATAGCTTTACCAATTGTTAACATTTTGCTATAGTTATTCTCTAAGTTTTGAAAATAAAGGGCAGGCAAGATATGTTATCCCTAAAAGATTTTCTTCTACATAATCAAATACTGTCACCCTGCCCAAGAAATTTAACATTGGTTACATCACAGTCTATATTCCAAGCTCCCATACTGTTCTAAAAAATGTCTTTATAGATTCCATCCATTTCCAATTGAGAAGCTACTGTGGATTCACACAATGCATCTGATTCATACTCTCTCTCTTTCTCTTTTTTTTTGGGGGGGGAGGGGACAAGTTCTCAATATATAGTCCAGGCTAGTCTTCAAGTCGCTATGCAGCCCAGGCTGTCCCCAAGCCACAACCGTCCTGCCACAGCCTCCAAGCACTAGGACTACAGGCACTCACACCCAGCTCTTGGTTATCCTACTTTAAAGTGAGTCCCTGCTTCAACCTAGTACACCATGTTCCCCAACCCCTCCTATACTATTTTTGGCCTTTTACAGCATTAACAATTCTGACCTAATATATAATGTAGTCTTAAAATTTTCCTGGAAAGTCTTCCAATGATTTATAATTTTTTAATATTTTTATAATGCTTATCACAACATTAGTATTAAATATCTTTATCCTGACAAATATAAGTGAAATTACCAATAGAGAGGCAGGGTTGTTCAGCGCTTACATATAACTCATGATCATTCTGCTGGAACTCACCGTTGAGTCTGAGCTGGCCACGGCGTCTGGCTTGGTGTGGGCACTGAGTTCGTGGGGCTCACTAGCATGGCACTGTAGATATTGGAAGCAACCACAAGTATACAGAGCAGTATGGGCCCAATAATTGCTCCTTCCAGACCAAGGTAGTAAGCTCCCCCAGCCACTGCCAAACCGGTCAGGTACGGATGGCCACCCCTGGAATAAAGAACGCATGCTTTGGTTCATGACTTTTAACAAAGATAAATTTCAGAATATTCTGAAATACTTTTTTTAGCACAATGCCAGTTCTTTAATACACCATGTTTTTTACTATCAACTCCCTTTAGGATACCTCAGTGCAGACAATGGAACACTGTAGCCCTGATACAGTACAAGGTTTTCTTGCCTATGCACCAGTGCGCGACATGTCCCTTTCTCCTGGGTTAGTAATCGGAAGAATAACGTCAGCACTGTTAACAGATACTGTGTACTCTTTACAGGTGGCTCCTGAGGAGGATTAATGCTGGCTCAGGACTGGTTACCTAAGCAACCTGTTAGATTTATAAGCATCAAGGATAATTACGTAGGCACAATTCAGTGTGTAACCAAGTTAATTATGTTTTTTATACATGACAGCAATGATAACAGCATTCCAGTTATATATAGGGTAGACTTCTTGTAACCTTCTAATAGTTTTGCACACAGATGATAAAAAAGGGCTCATGAGGAAGGTATCTGCCAGCAAGGTCTAAAAGTTTCATTTCGCAGGATGTCTGGAATTACCCACCGGCAGAAGACAGCACTGCTCACATAATTGGGATAAAGACAGACAGATTACAAGAGCACAGCACAGCAGTAAGACGTGACCACTGACGCAAAGGGATGAGGAAATAAGCCATGTTCTATTTGTTTTCACTTTTTAAACACAGATGAGTGGAACAAATTAGTAAGCTAGAAATAACTACAACCCTTAGAAGGATGTGCCATGATACATCACAGTTTAATGCATAACAGTAGTGAGTCAGTCTTCCAGAAACAAGTACATTATGTTTGTAACTTATTTGTCTTCTTCATTTCAAAAAATTTAAGGCAGTAGGCCACCTACACTAAGTAAGTGTTCCGCTAAATGTTACACTTGAAGAAAACGCCTCTGAACAATGTTGAAGCTTTTTGGAAAAAAAAAAAATCTTTTTATTTAAAAGCTTCATCTTTAAAAATACATAAAACAATTTACGTCCAACTTCATTTTCTAATGACATTGGTTAAAGTAGCTTATAATTAAGTTAATATGATAGGGGCTGGAGAGATGGCTCAGTGGTCTAAAGCACCTACTTAGAACAAGCTTAGCAAAAGCATCAGGGACCGCGGTTCAATCCCCCAGCACCACATGCCAGCCAGCCCTGCCCCCTGGTGGGCTCGCTCGCTCGCGCTCTCTCTCTCTCTCTCTCTCTCTCTCTCTCTCTCTCTCTCTCTCATAAATAAAATTTTAAAAAAAAGTTAATATGATAATAAATCTTAAATTCTACCCCTTCTTTTCTTTTCTGGCCAGAGCTAGGGGTAGGCTTTACTGAAAATGGAAACCTGGGCCTTTGAACAGAGCCACATCCCTCTCCCCTTTGCTATTCTTCCTTTGAAGACAGGGTCTTGCTAAATCATTACTTTGCCCACAGCCTGCTCGCACTGTGAGCCTCCTGCCTCAGCCGCCCATATACACTGAGATTACAGGCATGCACCACCACTGCAGGCCTTAATGTAAACCTTCACAAAGCTTCAATCAGTGGTTGCACTTACCCATGAATTACAAACCTTTTCCTACTGTTTAAAGTCCAATTACTAAAACACTAGCTAACCCTCTTTTAATCCCCCCGCCAAGTTGCAGGGACACAAGCTCCTCTCAGGGTGGCTCATGCAGCTACGTGCTTCTCTTTGCTCCAGCCCCATGGAGCTCAGAGCTGCTCCTCCTCAGTCATTTTCTACTCTAATGTACTTGAGAGAAAACACACACAAAGGCCTCTATACAATTAACTTAAGAGTACTATTTCCATAAACTTAGGCTCTCCTATGTTTAATTTACTTCAAGAAAACAGATATATTAACTATTTTGACAGTTTTAGTGGGCTATTCTCTCAATGTACCACCACCATCTGTATTTTAAAAAGCAGTGTCCATCTAGACACATGAATGTTGGCTGACTTGACAGAACTTCTATTCTGTAAGAGGGGCACAAAGGATTGAAACAGCGCTCGCAGTGTAGACCAGGCTAGCCTCAACGTGACCAGCCTGCCGCCTTAGCCTCCCAAGAGTGAGATGATGGGTATACACCACAACAACCAGCACTTCACACAGTCTTGAAAAGAGCTATCAAAACCTACAAACATGGAGAGATGCTCACTCATTAAAGACCACAGCTTTTATTCTGACTTGAATTTAACACTGTTTGATCTGTTTCAATGAACCACAGTGTCAAGAATGTGTTTACCAAATATGAATTTGTTAAGATTTAGTTTTATAGGGAAAGCTTCAGACATACAATGCCATAAACTTTTTCTTCAAAAACAAAAACATGATAAAGTAATTACTGTTTTCATGGAGTAATATTTCCTTCCTGGAGTAAATGTCACAAAATCAAGAGAAAATTATTCATCATTTTAGCCCAAGGTAGTGAGACCCTGTCTCAATAAAACTTACATTGTAACAAAATACCATGTGGGTTCTTTTTTATTGAGATAGGATCTCACTACGTACTTCAGGCTAGCCTCAAACTCACAGAGATCCTTCTGTCTCAGTCTCCTAAGTACTATGATTACAGAAGTGTCCCACCATGCCCAGCCAAAAAAATACCATGTCTTACAAACAATGCCACCTGAAATTAAATTTCATTGTATCAGACAAAACACAGAGTATTACTGTACTAAAAAATCCCAGCACCAGTTCTTTCTCTCAAACTGTCCCACCTTACTCCCCTGCCCCCGCAAAAATGTCAATAAACAATAGAACTCCCTGCATGATTCACCAGTAACCTCAGAATACTTACCCTGATATGTCAGAGTAAATTGCAGTATCTACAAAGTAAGTTGGCAAGAGATGAAAAACCAACAGGAGGATGGCCTTGCATCCTAATCCTTGTGTCAGCCACAAGTCTAGAACTGCAGGGATCGCTGCCCAGTACGTCCCCAGAAAGGGCACTGCTCCAAGGATTGCTGCTAAAGCTAATAGACATGGAAAGAAGAAAAGCAACTTAATACCATCAACAAAACCACCATGACACAACAGAAAATACTAGCTCCTGTCACTTAAAAACAAACATCAAAACAAATTATACAAACTCTCCTTTGGGGAATACACTAACTAATTTTTAAGATGTGAGACCTTCATTTATTATTGAAAATGTCTGCAATGAATCTACAAATCTGCTTTTTCTTTTTCAACACAGGGTCTCACTATGTAGCTCAGGCTTGCTTTGAACTATATATGTATGTATCCCGAGCTGGCCTTGAACTCATGGAGATGCTCTTTCTCAGCCCCCAAGTGCTGGGATTATCGGGACACAACACCATACCCTGTTTGAATCTGCTTTGGGGTTTTTTTGGTCATTTTGAGACAGGGTCTTGCTATGCAGTTCAGATTAGCCTTGAGCTCACTTTGTAACCCAGGCTCGCCTTGAACTTGCAACAATCCTCCTGCTTCCTTCAGTCTTCCAAGTGCTGGAATTACATATACAATTCTTTTTTTTTTTTTTTTCTTTTTGTGATACTGGGGATTTAACTCAGGACCTTGCACTTGCCAGGCAAGCGCTTATTCTACTGAGCTATCTCCTCAGCCCAGGTGTGCAAATCTTAAGTGATAAAATCTTACTATTGTACAGTTATTAGCTGAATTGATGGTCAGTTAATATATGGTCCTATAAATAAAACTGTAGCATGTTTTTCAAAATTCACTAATCAGAAATTAGTTTCCAAATTCCATGAATGAATCCTTTACTTTGCTCTTAATGAAAATAAAGTAAAAATACAAATAGACAGAAGCCCTAGGAGGTAAGGGATCTAACTTCAAGCTTACCCACTTCTAGAGCAACAAATGTAAGCACTTAGTTTCCATCTCACTTCCCTCCAGACTACAGGCAAGCAGAGGTGGACTCTAACTTTAGTCTGACCACTAATCATGTTTGGAAAATTCTGGATTTTCACCTATGCAACAAGACCACCATCAATGTTCCTGTCTTACAGGGCGCGATTAGAATTTCAATTTTTTAAATTTAAATCAATGTATTTGGTACAGGGTCTCCCTCTGCAGCTCAGAGGCGGGGCTGGCACAGCAAGTGGTGCTGGGCATCCAACCAGTCCTCCAGCTTGCTAGGCCAGCTCTTAAGACCACTGAGCTATTTCTGTGGACCTTTACAGGGTGATTGGAAAACAATAACCTCCACATGCTCTCGGGGTGCCTGCAAATCAGGGTCAGCTAATGGGCACCACAGGAGAAAAGAACATCAATGAACTTGCGAATGTAAAGAAAGGGGATGCATACAGGTAGGAGAAATGATGCATACAGGTAGCAGCAAATGTAGAAGGCAAGGAAATTTAGGAAAACGAAGCAACAGGAATAAAGGAAGGACAACTGTAAGGAGAAGAGAGAAAAGGGTGGCCAGTAAGTAGCTTATGTGTTCTCTCAAACACAGTCATCTGGCTCCTGGGACAAAGCTATGTGACAATACATTGCTCCTACCAATTAGTTCAATTCACATATTGGCCACCAAGTGCTAAGATACTCATTCCTTTTAGCAAATGTTTAGGCAGAGCTTTCTATTCCTAGGTACGGCTCTAGTACTGGGAGGACAGTAATAGGCACACCATAAACTACGCTTCTGCTCCTAGTCTGAACTACATCTTGAGCCACAAAATGCAGACTAAATCTGAGAAAGAGGCCAATTCCTAATGAATGTAACTAGGCTGCCTCCTTAAACGGAGATCAGAGGAAGTTATGACATGACGGTTACCTGATGGTATGAAGACAATGTTGATGCCAAATATAGTGTGAGTCAGCCAGGTGTACAGTCCATAGAAGCCAGCCATTTTGAGGGAGGCATCAAACACCCCTCTAGGACACCCAAAGATAAAAGAGAGGGTTAATAAACACATCATCTGTGCTTCAGGAAAAGCAAGATTTTGAGACTACTTCATTCCAACTCTGGTAATAGTTTTCAATTTTTTACCAGCCTGAAAACACCTTCATTTTACTACAAAGAAATATAATGTCCTTATTTTAACACTCTAAATTTTATTGGAGAAAAATATAAGACTTTTAGTATCCAATTGCTCTTTAAAAATCTCTGATAAAAGTAAATGAAATACTTAAAATGCCCCATTCACCGAAATAATTTATCATCTTTCCACTTCTGAAGCACACATTTTACTCATGATGACGATATTTTACAAGAGTGAAGAACATGTGTCTAGGTATGGAATTAAACTGCAATGAGCTGGAGGGTGTAGCTCGGTAACAGAGCACATGTGTGGCTGGGCTCAAGGACCAGGGAAGCAGGGTCAGGAGACAGAGGAAGGGGGAGGAGAGGGCACGTGAGAAACAGTCAATCTCTCTTTGCTTGCTACCAAAATTCTACTGCATTTCTTTAAGTACAAAGAAACTTCTCCAAGGAGAAGTAGGAAGAATTTGTGAGAAAGAAATTCTCCAAAGTAAAACTGAGGAGGAAAATGCAGTGAGTTAGAAATAGCCATGTATGGGGGAGATGGCTCAGTAGGATAAGCGCTTGACTGGCAAACGCAAGGATCTGAGTTCAATCCCCGGTTCCGCCAAAAAAGAAATAGCCGTATACTCCATGACTGAGAAGGACCTGGTACATGAAGCTCTGGAACAGACCAATCAGGCAGCACTGCAGAGGCAGCGAGGACGGTGCCCAGACAGCACCAGGGCAGCAAGTCTGACGCGGTCCCATGGCATCACAGACTGTAAAGCCCAGGCTATGCAGGGCCAAGGGGCGTACTCTCGTGCATTCAGGAGAAGGAAAAGCCATCATCAAAACACCTGTGGTGTAACGGTAGCAACGTACACACAAATGCCAAGCTGTCATTATCGAGTGTCCCAGGAGTTGTGTGCTACAAGCAAAGTAAAACTTAGGAATGTGCTGGTTCAGCTACTTAGCACAGGTCTTGGACGTGGGTCTGGGGAGAGAGTGGATCCCCAATGACGAAACCTCACTCGCTATCCTGACGAAGCACTTCCACTCAGTAATGTCATAGAGGCACCACACGACCCTTCCTAACAGGACCTAGATGAAAGGTGGCATCACAAGGACACAAAGGAAGGAAGATATTCCACAGAAATACAAAAATGACCTAAATGCTAACTGAATAGTCAGATAGAAAGAGAAAACAACTTTTAGGCTTTAACTTTAGAAGGAAAATGAAAGTATCTCAAAGATATGTAGAAGGCCAGAAGAATGGAAGAGAAACGGAAGAAAGAAAAGTAGATTTAGGGCAGCGCTGAGTTAAATGGTCTGTAAAACTGGCTCGGAAGAAGTTTAAATAACAGAAAGCTAAACACGAAATACAGAATGTGAGATTTGAGGTATACCAAAACAGATTAGTTATAAGAAAGGAAAAGACACCGTTGAGGGGCAAATGCAGAGAAAACTGAGCAGAAGGTTGTGTTTTTATGAGGGACCTAAGGACAGAGATACAACAGTCGAAGGGCATGAAATCATTTTTGTAGGAGAAGGAAAATCAATGGAGTGTAGTGTTCCCAGAGACCAAAGGAGAAGGGTGCTGTGGGGGTGGGGGGCTGGAATTTGGCTAAAACCAGTGGAGGGTCAATGCCAAAAGGTACAATGTGGTACTTCCTTCACATGAGTTAAAATACTTTAAGTCAAAAACAAGTTGGCACCAAAAGTACAAAACAATAACACAACCAAATCACCCCTCTAGACAGCAATTAAGCAAAGCTCAACCCCAAAAAAGACCAACTGTAAGAAACAACACACAGTCTCCTTCCTTTTACATCTGGCAATGTGATTTTAATATTCTCATTAAGGCGATTCTAAAATAATTTTGTGAACGTTAAAGGCACTAAATATTGTTTGTAATTACTGAACATACTTATGTAACCCAATGTGGGATGCACAGAATACATTCCACTCTACCTCATTCTTCATGATCTGGAATACAAATTTTATAAAACAGCACAGCAAAACACCCTAGAACTTTTTTTTTTTAAAGCACTTTTAAGTTCATAGCAAGTCTTTCTTCTTTCAATATATCTGCTATATTGATCTACAATTTACAAACAATAAAACTTACCAATTCTGAATGTGCAGTTCAGTAAATCTCAACCTAATTTACATACTCACCATTACATTTACAATACTTCCATCACTCCAAAATGTTCCAGTGTGCTCTTTAAAGTCAATCCACTCCTACCCCAACAGCCACTAGGTATGCTCTCCCACTATAATTTTGTCTTTTCTAAAATTGTATGTTATGTAGCTTTTTTAAAACCTGTGTTAAATGTAAATAACACAGTCCTCATCTTAATCACATTCAGTGATTGTATTCAGCTGCTAAACTGCATACACCGTCAGGAAGCACCTTCTGGTGTCTGGACACTTTCATCACGGATAGTGCTTTTGAGCTTCATCTATACGGCAGGCACTGCTACTTTTCATTGCTGGCAGGACTCCTCTCTACGGGAATTCCTCAGTCACCAGCTGATGTGCTCAAATGGACCATTCCAGCTTTAAGGCTATTACCAATAGTGCTGCTCTAAACATCTGAGTGAACATTAAACTGTGTGAACATATGCCTTCGGTTTTCCTTAGTAAACACTTAGGAGTAGACATATTGAGTTACCTGGTTTCTATTTAATTTTGTAGTAACAGGACAAGAAGAAGCCACAATTTCTAACATCACACAGTATCTACTCAAGGTGTGAGACTGAAGTTCACATCTACAGTATAATGTGAGTGAGGACTGGCAGAAAAAGCAGTTCAAGAAAAGCTAAATGACAAGCATGCGAAGACCCAGGAATGGACCCTGCGCTGATTAGTAGCTCAATAAGCAGCAGCTGTTTACAGGTGCTGCTGTTATTAGTTCTTGAGGTTGGGCTACTTGACCAGTACCCAGAGGATTTTGATAAAAACTACAAGTTTGTACTTCATAAGCTTAAGTGATCTGAACTGAAAAGGAAAGTTTAGCACCTGCCTAGCAAACACAAGGTCCTGAGTTCGATTCCCAGTACCAAAAAAAATGAAGCCTCTTGAGATGGAGACATTATTCTAGATCATCTAGCTAAGCCAATTATAAAAGTCCTAAAGAATAAAATGGGGCCGGGGAGACGGCTCAGTGGAATAAGCGCTTCCCTGGCAAGTGCAAGGGCCTGAGCTCAATCCCCGGTTCTGCCAAAAAAAAAAAAAAAAGAATAAAATGGATGTGGTGGTGAATGCCCGTGGTTCCAGCACTTAGGAGGCTGAAGCAGCCATGAGTTTGAGGCCAGCCTGGAATACATAGTGGGTTCAAGGCCAGTGTAAACTGCAGAGCAAGACCTGTCTTAACAAAAAAGAAACTGTTAAAGGGTTATTTTCATACTCATTTATCCAACTACTAAAAAAAAAAAAAAAAAAAAAAAAAAAAAAAAAAAAAATGAAATGGACCCTTATTTCATACAAAAACCAATATAAAATAAATGGACATGTTTCTGCTGGCTTGAACCATACATGACTGTCCCATTGTGAGGGCTTGTACCACTTGCGGTCCAATGAATCTAATCACTTTCATCAGTCTCTTATAAGATTAATAAAAAGCCCCCTGATGGCACAAACACCAGTGGTTCAATCCACCCAGCAGTAAGATGAATGACTTAAGTAAGGCCTTGCCACAAACATGTTAAAGACTTAAATGTGTAATATTACTAGAATAAAACACAGGGGTAAAGCTCCAGGACGTTGGTTTGGGATGTGGTTTTTTTAGATATAAAGTCCAAGACAGAAGCAACACAAATAAATTTGACAAGTAAGGTTATATCAAACTAAAAAGTTGCACACCACAGAAATATATCAACAGAATCTATGAAATGGTAGAAAATATGTATAAGCCATATATTTGATATAGTTAGTATCTAAAACATCTGAAGAACTCAACAATAAGAGAACATAATACAATTTTTTTTAATTTTATTTATTTATTTATTTATTTATTTTGTGTGTGTGTGGCCAGCTCAGCCCACCAGGGGGCGGGGCTGGCTGGCATGTGGTGCTGGGGGATTGAACCCCGGTCTCTGTGCTTTGCTTAGCTTAGCTTGTTCTAAGTAGGTGCTTTAGACCACTGAGCCATCTCACCAGCCCCATAATACAATTTTAAAATGGGCAAAAAATTTGAGTAGATATTTCTCAAAAGTGTACAAGTAACCAACAGGTACACATGAAAAAATGTTCAACGTTACTAATCAGAAAAATACAAAATAAAATTGAAAAATTTCACTCTGTCTGTTGAAATAACTATTATCACAAAGATAACAAATGTCGGTGAGGACACAGAGGAAAGGCAATCTCCATACCCTGCTGCTGAGAATGGAAATTAGTAAAAAGAAAACACTGAAGTTCAAGTTTCCTTAAAATGCCAGAACAGAAGCAGATGATTCAGGAATGTATTCAAAGAAACTGAAGTCAACATGTTCCATGTCACTTTCGGTTGTGGTGGGCAGTGAACCCAGGGCCTCACACACTCTAAGCAGAGTATGTACTCCATCACTGAGAGAAAGAAAGAGCGAGAGCAGGAGGGAGGGAGAGAGGCTAAGGGGGAAGAAAGCAGCAGGGTCAGCCAGGTAAGGAGACCTGAGGAGAGAAGCCGGGCGCAGACACAGTTCTGAAGGTGCTCTGCTGTTGGCCTTAAACAAAGATGAAGGGGCCATCAGCTAAAACCATCTAAATTTGCCAGAAAGAACATGGTCCTGTTGATATGTTAATGTTAGGACTTCCTCTCTCTCAAACTAGAAGATACAAAACAAACTAGAAGATAATAAACTTAATGTTGAAACTATTAAGTTTATGACAATTCATTATTACAACAATTAAGATATGTATCTCATGA